TCACTTTCTTCATTAAAAATCAAAGTGTTACCAGGCACAGTGGTGCATGCCTTTAGTCCCAGTACTTGGGAGGCAAAGGTCAGCCTGGTCTACATAGTGAGCGCAAGGCCAGTTGGGGCTACAGGGAGACTCTGCCTCAAAAAGACCAAAAAATAAAAAATAAATAAATAAATCAAAATCTAACTGCATATAGAATTGTTATAGATATTAAACAAAACAATGTATAAAAGGTCTCAACAAACTACCTAGCACAAAAAATTCAATAGATCTTAGCCACCTATATAAAAGGAAAAATAAGTAGCCTTTAAATAGGGCGTGTTATGTACATACATAATTCTAAGTGCTTTACATACACTACCTATGGTATCTTCTCAACATCTCCATTAAGACAGAAACTATTTCTTTTGTTCTTTAATTTTCAAAATTACATTTATTTACTTGTGTAGGATACACATGCCCATGATGCACATCCCTCCACTGCGTGTGGAACATCTACAGGAGCTGGTTCTCTCCTTCCACTATGTGAATCCCAGAGATCAAACTCAGGTCCTTGGGCTTAGTAGCAATCACCTTTACTGACTGAGTCATCACCAACCGTAAGATAGGTACTATTTCAATTTTACAGATGAAGAAATGGAAGCAGAGTCAAGTGACTTGGTCAATGTTAGAAAGTTTTTAAGAGGCAACTGAGATTGAAATCCAGTGTAGTTCCAGAGTCTCTTTCTACTATGTGCATGCACACACACACACACACACACACACACACACACACCATATATAAATTCTTCCCTCATGCAACAAATGAGTGTTCTCCATGTGGCAGAGCCTGTGCTAGCACTAAAGATACAGAAATGAAAAAACATAGAATGAGCACAGTAGCATGGGTTGTAGTTTCAGCTACTCAGAGCTTCTGGAGAGCCTACTCCTTGGAGAGGCAGACTTCAGAGCTAAACAAAGAACACCATAAACTAAACATAATAACTAAGGCCTATTGCTAAGAATCACCAGAGGGTCCAAAATTCCAATATTAAATTATTTTAAAAGAATACCACATAAATCCACACTCTTATTTCTCTTCTCTCTAGAGCAACTGAAGGTCAAGTTACTTGTATAATTCCTATCTGAAGTCAAATGTTTCTTTTCATTGCTACTGACAGACTTTGCTTATCCTGACCCTCAACACTCTCTATCTGTACTTCATAATTAAAACTAAAAGCTAACCATCACCTAGCTATACACTATACATGGGTTAGCAAACTTTTTCTGTTCAGGGTCAGACAGGAAATATATTATAAAAGGGTTCTGAGGGCCCTGTTGTCTCTAGCAACTACTCAACTTTGCAGCTGTAGCACAAAAGCAACCATCAAAAATAAACAGCTGCTGCCAGGCGTGGTGATGCACGCCTGTAGTCCCAGCACTTGGGAGGCAGAGGCAGGTGGATCTCTGTGAGTTCAAGGCCAGCCTGGTCTACATAGTGAGTTCCAGGACAGCTGGGGCTACAGAGACCCTGTTTCGAAAAGACCAAAAAAAAAAAAAAAAACCAGAAAGAATTTTACTTTCGAATTTTACTTTCTCATGCACTGATGCATCCTCTGCAGCCCACCTACTTCTGACATTTCTTCAAGTGGTCACCTCTTCAATACTCAGGCACAGAAGACAAGAAGCCAGAGGACAGAAAAAACAAAAAAGAGGCATGCTAAAAATAACTGACAGGGGTTTTCAGATCCAGCATTGGCTTTTGTTTCCTGTGAGATGGGTTAAATTGTTTTGATAATGAAAACACAGGCTAAAACCACCTCTGCTCTCACAGCACAGCTGTGTATAGATTTAGTGCTCTTTATATTTCATGTGTAACCCACTTGCATTTTGATGTGTAAATATTTTAGATCTTCTTTTCATAATCTTGTGTTCTATGAAATACAACAGAAACACAAGTGTACAATGCTTCATTCAGGTACTCATAAATAATGAATAAATGCCTCATAAATGATTGCTTATAAAAACAAATGAGCCAGGTTTGGTGGCTCACCCGTGTAATCCCAGCATGGGGGAGGTGCAGTCAGGAGGATCAGGAATTCAAAGTCATCCATGGCTGTATAACAAGACTGAGAGCTCACCTCAAAGAAACATAAAACGGCTGGAGAGATGGCTCAGTGGTTAAGAGCACTTGTTGCTCTTGCAGAGGACCCAGGTTCAGTTCCCAGCACCCACATGGTGGCTAACAACCATTTGTAACTCCAGTTCCAAGGGAATCTGATGTTCTCTTCCGACCTCCATGGGGACTGCACAACCAGGTTGCAGTTACATACATGCAGGCAATACATTCATACACACAAAATTAAAAAATAAAATATTTTTTTAAAATACAAAAGGGCTGGAGAGATGGCTCAGTGGTTAAAAACACTGGTTGCTCTTGCAGAGGACCTAGGTTCAAATCCCAGCACCCACATGGCAGCTAACAACTGTCCCTAACTCCGGTCTCAGGGTATCTGACAGCCTCTTCTGACCTCGGCTGGCATTGCACAACACAGGTGCACTTACCTACATGGAGGCAATACACTCATACACATAATAATAATAAATAAAATTTTAAAAAAACAGAAACAAAACAGAAAGTGAGGCATAATAAGAGGCCCTTAGCTCCCTGGAGACATGCCCTCAAAGGACTCAGTAAGAGAAGACAAGAAACCAGGCCATAGAAAAGAGTAAGAGGCATGCTAAAAATAACTGATGGAGGTTCTCACAATTCAGCCCCAGGGGTCCTTAGCCCATGCTTCTTGCTTGAGATAGTGTGTTCCCATCAAACAGGTATAGGTTTGAAGACTAGGAAGAGCTGCAGTTTCATGTCTCATCTCTATTCCAAAAACAGGAAAAGACTAATGTCTCAGCTCAAGCACACGGACAAGCCTTTTTTGTTCTGTTCAGATCTTTTTTTTTGCGGGGGGAGGTGTCTTTTGAGACAGGGTCTCCCTGTAGCCCTAGCTGGTATAGAACTCACTATGTAGACAGGTTAGCCTCGAATTCACAGAGATCCACCTGCCTCTGCTGGGATTAAAGGCATGTCCCACCATGCCCAGCTTCAGATTCCCCCTACCCCCACCCCCCAAGACAGGGTCTCATTGTGTAGCTCTGGCTGGTCTGGTACTTGCTATATAAACCAGGTTGGCCTTGAACTCACAGAGATCTGCCTGCCTCTGCCTTGAGAGTGCTGAGATCAAATGCCCAGCTCCTGTTCAGATTTTCAAATGACTGGTTGCAGGTCAATCACATTAAGAAGACTAATATACTTTACTCAGCCTATTAATTCTAATGTTAATCCAAACTCCAAACACTCTAACACATCCAGAGAAATGTTTGACCAGATATCTGGATATCCCATGACCCTACTGACAAGTTGATGATGCACAAAATTACCTACCACACTACAAACTCTGAAAAGGCAGCTGGCAAAGCTCCTTAACCATTTGTTTTTTCCTCCAGTGGTGGGACTCAGAGCCAGAACCTTGTGTATAACAAACAAGTGCTCTACCACGCACCCACATCCCTAGCCTCAACACCTATTCTTTTCATTGTTGTTAGCACACTAAATGAGGGGTTTCATTATACTTTCATATACATTATGTTCATATTTTTTGTTCTTATCCACCAATGTTCTTTCATTTCATCATTCTTTCCAGGTGTGGTGGTGCACAACTTTAATCCCAGCACTTAAAAAGTAGAGACAAGATCTCTATGAATTTGAGACTAGCCTGGTCTAAACAGTAAGTTCCAGGCCAGCCAGAGTTACTCCTCCTCTAAAAAACAAAACTTAACAAAATAGGAGAGAATTTTTTTAGAGGAAGATTTTTAATTTTTTTAAAATTTGTTTATTGTGTGTATGTGTACTCATGCACTTCCCACAGCATGTGTGTGTGGAGATCAGAGGACAGCTTGTGGGAATTAGTTCTCTTGAAGGAGAGAACTATGTGGGTCCCAAGGATTAAATACTAGTCGATGAGCTTGATGGCAAGGCCTTTTAAACTGCTGAGCCATCTCACTGGCCCAGGAGATTTTTTCTTTAATTAAGATTTTGAAATACACAAACAAATATATAGACACAATAAATACGTAAATTTAAAATTTTGTTGAAAAGACAAACTAGATAAGGCCAGGCGTGGTGGTGCACACCTTTAATCCCAGCACTTGGGAGGCAGCGGCAGGTGGATTTCTGTGAGTTCAAGTCCAGCCTGGTCTATATAGTGAGTTCCGAAACAATCAAGGAATCATGGAACAGGAAGGTATCAAACATTATGAAAACAAAGTAAATCTGAATGATAATGGTCTAAATTATCTAATCAAAAGGTACATACTAGATAATAGGAAAAAGATTTGCAAATCATATATCTAATAAGGGATACCTATGTTAACACAACACAATAAAAAATGCACAAAGGACTTAGACACTTCTCCTAGAAATATAAAAGGTTGGTGAGCACATGAAAAGATGCTTAGTGCATCAGTCATGATGGAAATGAAATCAAATTTGTAATGAAAGCTGGGCATGGCAGTACAGAAACTCAGCACTGAGAAGGCTGAGGCCTAAGGCTGAGGTGGGAGATTACTAATTCAAGTCCACCTTGTGCTACATAATGTGACCCTGTCACAAGAAACAAACAAAAAATCACAATGATACCACTTCATACCTGATAGAATGATTATTACAAAAATATTTTTTTAAAAAGAAGAACAAAAAGTGACTGAGGATATGGTTCAGTTGGTACAGTGCTGGCCTATCATGCAAGAAGCCCTGGATTCCATCCTCAGCACCATACATAAACTAAGTATGGTGGTGCATGCCTACAATGCCAGCACTCAAGAGCTCAAGGTGATCCATCCTTCCCTATAGAGTACATCTGAGGCCAGCCTAGGCTACATAAGACCCTGTCACAAAACAGTTATTGACTCTGCAGTGAATCTGATCATCATATGTATCATATGAAATAAGATGAGGTACCACTCACCTTGAACACTTCAGAGAAGAAGCCAGACCCTATTTTTTCACAGGTGAAATCATCCAAACGTGTCAGTCTGGAAAAGGCACTAATAAGAGCTCGATATGAAGATGGCCAAACTCTTCCCACCTGGATCATGTTCCCATCTCCTCCACCACCTCCTTCAAATTCTTCAAGACGCTCCACACGTGGTGGAAATCCTGCAATTGAGTTCCGCTTGCTCCGATCCATAATCTCAACAATCACTTCTTTTAAAAAGGAACTCCACACTTAGTAAGGTTTTGTTCAATTTAAGTTCTTTTCCAGTGGGACACTATAAACAAGAAAAACATTTCATTAAAACCATTGATGAATACATGCAAATTAGTAAAAATCAATACAAAAATATTTCCTTTTGTATTCTCTGATTTCCAGATCTAAATAACACTATGCCTTCATTTTCAAAAAAAACTACATGCATAAAACCAAGCTATTGTCCATCTTTTACATGACTAGAATATAAAAATCATCAATCACATTCTAAAAACAAAAGAACAATGATGCCTAATCATTGCTTGACCACCCACTTCCTTTTTAGAAAACATACAATAAAAACATGAACTGGGGGCACAACTCAGTGACAGAGAATGCACTTAGTGTAAGATCTTTATCTGTAGCATGCCATTTGATTCTCAAATCATCGATGATAAGGATTATTATGTTCACTTCACAGAGAGATCAAGTAACCTACAGTCACTAAATGACAGAAAATTAATACGCAAGACCGATTCTAAAGCCTGTGCTCCTACCAATGCCCTTTATGGCCTCACATAATTTTATTAATTTGAAAAATTATTAAACTCAAAAATATAGAACAAAGATAATGCTGCACATAAGGATTTCTTGAGTTCAAGGCCATCCTGGGCTACATAGTGAAACCCTCCCTCAAACACAGACATACACACACAGAGATTACCTAAAAATTCACTACTGGTTAAACAATGTCCAGAAAAATGACTATCCTAGGCCCCAAGCCATTGTGATATAAGCATAAACAAGAATAAAAACAAAAACTTCATTTTATTTTATTTGGTCTCCCTATGTCCACTTTTTTCCCCACTAGAACTGATTATAAGGGTTCTACGTAAAATAGAACTTTTTTATTTTGTGAAGGGTTTATTTGGGGTGTTTTCTTTTGTCTGTGTCTTCTTTGCCTTTCACTTGTAAAATGCACACCTGTGACACTCAGTTAATGAGAGTCTCTCATAGGCTTGAGAAGTATCTTCAGCCTTCTCAACCTCCAACCATGGAGCATCCTAGCAGTGCTCCCAGAATTGTCCTGCATCATGAAACTGCCTCTCTGACTATAGTCAAAAGGCAGCACTCAGGGGACTGGAGCGATGGCTCAGCAGTTAAGAGTGCATACTGCTCTTTCAGAGGACCAGAGTTCAATTCCCAGCACTCACATCAACAGCTCACAACTGCAGCACTGAATGCACATGCACAAACCCCCGTACATATAATTTTAAAATAATAATAAAATAAAAATGTTAGAACTTGCTAAGCATGGTTGGACACATCTCTAATCCCACCACTGAGGTAACAGAGGTGGGTAGGTCTCTATGAGTTCAAGGTCAGCCTGGTCTACACAGCGAGTTCCAGGCCACCTGGGGCTACAGGGATACCCTGTCTAAAAAAAAAAAAAAAGTCAGAACTTGGGCTGGAGGGATGGCTCAGCAGTTAAGAATAGAGCTCCACTTCTAGTAACCGCCATGTCAGGAGGCTTACAATTGCCTACAATGCTAGCTCCTGGGAGATCTTACACCTTTGGTGTTCACAGGCACCTGTATTCATGTACATACATACATACATGCATACACACACACACAATTAAAAAAATTTTTTTTTCAAAGTTAAAACTCTTGGGGATGGAGAGATGGCTCAGCAGTTAAGAACACAGACTGTTCTTGCAGAAGACCCAGGTTCAAATCCCAGCACCCACATGGCAGCTAACAACTGTCCATAACTCCAGTTCCAGGGGATCTGACAGCCTCTTCTGTCCTCCACAGGCATTGTATGATGTGGATGCACTTACCTACATGCAGGCAATACATACACATACACATAAAATAAAAATAATAAATAAAATTTTTAAAAAAATTTATTTCATGTGTATGAGTGTATTGCCTGCATGTATGTGAGTGCACCCGTGCAATGCTGCAGAGGTCAGAAGAAGGCTTTGGATTCCCCTGGAACTGGAGTTAAGGATGGTTCATAACTGCCATGTGGGTGCTGGGAATCGAACCCAGGTCCTCTGCAAGAGCAGTCAGTGCTCTGGGTCTCATGTAACCTAGGCTGATCTCAAAATCACTGTGTAGCTGAGGGTATCCTTGAACTCCAGATCATTCTCCCTCCATCTCTCAAGTGCTGAGATTACTGGCACAGTACCATGCCTGGTTTCAAAGTAGTCTCTTAACTGTGAGGCCCTAAAATCAACAAACAAGTTATATATTTCCAGTATATGATGGCACAATATAAATGTTCCCTTCCAAAAGGGAGGAATGGAGGTTATAGAATGGAAAGATTGGCTCAAAGCAGAACCAAAACCCAGCAGCACAATATCAAACCATACAGCTCCATGGCTCTTGGTGGCATTATCAAGGCTTCAATGGACTTGGGTAGCACTGCCCTGGTAATTCTACTATCTGCAGTCTACATGACCTCTTGGGTGAACTCCACTCAGTGCATACAGCTCTCCTAGGTGGATGTCTTACATTTCTGACATCTCCAGTATCCTTGAGTTTCCATAGCAATTAGACTTCACCTTCATAGCATCACACACAGTCTACTCAGGATTTCAGTACATAGAATTTGTACCTGCTACATGCTACCTAGCCTCAGCAACTCTAGAATCTTAGTGACAGCCTCCATAGCCCCCTTTCGTGCATTTGCATGCTAGAAACAGTACCATGTTGCATGTAGTGCCAGGTTCTGCCAATTGAAAACATAGCTGGGCCTCCTTGGGATTACACTTGCAGTGGCCCTTATGTTCCTTTGTAGCTGAATCTGGGCAGCCATTATCCAGATGGGTATCCTGAAAGTTCTGTCTTTTCAGACATTCCTTTCACATGAATTTGAATTGCTATACCCTGGAGCTCTCAATGGGTGGTGACTTGTTCTTAAGGCATTTTTCCTGATGTTCTCCTGCAAAGTCTGAAATGTCTCCTTAATGACACTAATCTCTTTAACAGTTATAGCCACTTTCTCTGACTCTGCCTTGCCCTCAACTTCATTGGGTTCAGGTTCCTTTCCTCACCAAACTGCACATTTCCATCTGCAGCTTTAACAAAATTCATGCTCCTTTCTTTGCCAAAGTGCACATTTTCATTTCTGCTTCATTCATATTTCTTTCTGCTTCACTTACTGCTCTCTCTCATTATAAATCTGGATAAATGCAGTAAGGAGTAACTATGCTACAGCTTGTATGTTATGCTGTCTTGGAATTTCCTCTTTCAAACAACTTAATCCATTAAATTTGTTTTGTTTTGTTTTTTTGAGACAGGGTCCCCCTGTAGCCAAGGCTGGCCTGACACTCACTATGTAGACCAGGTTGGCCTTGAATTCACAAAGATCCACCTGCCCAAGTGCTGGGACTAAACGCATGCACCATCACGCCCAACCTTAGCCCATTCATTTTTAAAAGATTTACTTATTGTATATATAAACTTACTGTATATAAATGTATGTATAAAATGTACATATATATATATGTATACATACATATGTTTGGTTTTTTGAGACAGGGTCTCCCTTTAGCCCCAGCTGACCTGGAACTTGCTATGTAGACCAGACTGGCCTTCATCTCACATCCAACTGCCTCTGCCTCCTGAGTGCTGGGATTAAAGGCGTGCACCACTGCTCCTGTCAAGATTTATTTATTTTTATATTTTGCCTGCATGTTTGTTTGTGTACCATGTGTGCCTAGTGCCCAAGGAGGACAGAAGAAGGGGTCAGATCTCCTGGAACTGGAATTATAGATAGTTGTAAGAAGCCATGTGGGTGCTGGGAACTGAATCTGGGTCTTCTGCAAGAGCAGCAAGTGCTCTTAACCTCTGAACCATCTCTCTAGCCCCCTAGCCTATTACTTTTTAATTTAACTTCACTCAAATTTTTAGGACATGAGCAAAAGCATAACGAGATTCTTTGCCAAAGTATAACATGAATGGCCTCTAGCTCAGTTCTCAATGGATTCTACTCTGAAGCCAGTCTTTTCTGTCCACATTTCCATTGGCATCTGGTCTTCTGAACTCCCATCACCAAGGCTTATTAAAGTCTGTTTTCAGCATTCCAAGGCTTCTCTAACCCATAGCTCTAAACTCATCCAACATTTCTCCTACAAACCAGTTCAGAAGGCTTGTGGTCAGGTTTATCACAGCAACAGCCCCATCTTTTCCATATCAATTTTCTGTATTATTTATATTTAAAGTTTTCTGATCAAGTACTTGACAAAAACAACATAAAGGAAGAAGGATTTATTTTGGCTTGCAGTTTGACGGGATACTGTACATCATGGCAGGGAGGGCATGGTAACAGGTGGCTCCATTGGTGGCAAGAGTGTGAAGCTGCTTGCTTATATCTCAATAACAGGAGGCAGATAAAGGAAAATGCTGCAATTCAGCTAGCTTTCTCCTTTTTCTCTTTTTATGCAGTCCAGGACCCCAGTCCATGGATGATACTACCCACATTCAGGGTGGGTATTCCCCCCTCAGTTAATCCTCTCTGAGGAAGCTGTCATAGACCCATTCGAAAGTGTGTGCTTCAGCCCTGCCCTAGGCATTTCATAATCCAATCAAGTTCACAACAGAAATTAAGCATCACAATGCCTTTACATAAGTTCATGCTTTTAAACACTTACTATAAATAATATATTGGGCTTTTTGTTGTTTGTTTTTAATTTTATGTGTACGAGTATATTGCCTGCATGTATGTGAGTGGACCCGTGTCATGCAATGCCGTGGAGGTCAGAAGAGGGCTTCAGATTCCCCTGGAACTGGAGTTAAGGACAGTTCATAGCCACCATGTGAGTGCTGGAAATCGAACCCAGGTCCTCTGCAAGAGCAGTCAGTGCTCTTAACCGCTGAGCTAACTCTCTAGCCCTTAAATAATATATTGTTAAGTAATAATTATGACAAGAATTAAATATTTACTATTTACTTGATCAATAATCATATAGCTATTATAAGGTTTAAATTAATACATAAAAATTAATGTACATACTGTTTTGGGGGTTTTTTGAGACAGGATCTCACTATGTAGGCCTGTCTGGCCTGGAAC